GCAAAGATGGATTTCTCATAAAATAAGGAACACAATGGTTAACTTTGAACATATGTTTTTATGGCATTAATACAACAGAGTGTCTTCAGGTTGGCTGTAACACACATCAGTACAGAAAAATCCTTCCTGCCATCTTTTCAACGATGGCAGAGTTACCTGAGAAAGTAGGTTAATTGAGCTGAATGGATCTAGTGTAGTTTAGAGCAAGGACTTATCCCCTTGAAGACACTTAGCAAAATGGATTAGATTTCAATATAAGAGGAAACACTGCCAAAAAAGTATGGAACAAAATATGCAAGATAACTGTTATCACTAAAAGTTAGAAGCAACAAAAACTTGCTCCAGTGCTTGAAGAAGAAAAAACAGCGCAGAGTACACAAAGACAATAAATGCACAAAAGTAAGAGACAAAATAAGTTGTTTTTGTACTCTAAAGATAAATAAATAAAGGCAACAACAACAAGCTGAACTCTGAATGACAGAAAATATGGAAATGGAAAAGTATGTTAAAAAAAAAAAAAAAAAAAAACCCAACCCCAAAACCCCAGATATGGAAAAACTACAAAAACTCTAGAGTTTAAATGCATACTTTTTTTTCACGATGACTATTTTATTCTTATGCCAAAAATAAATACAACCTAACCTTCATTCTCTAAATGAAATATAAGTATGCACAATTTCTTAAATTAAAAAAAAAAAAGATTACTAATGCTACCAGAAGAATCTTTTGTTTTCCATTCTAGTTTTTCATATTTTTTATTCTTCTTAAAGATTGTATTCAAATGTCTCTTACACTTTTGAGGCCATCATTGATAATGACTTCTGTCACACTAGTCCAGGGTACAAACTGTATAAGGGGATATAAGCAAAGAACAAAGAGCAAATTACAGATGTTAATGCTCATATTAATCAAGCTAAAATTTGAAAAGAGAGGATGAGAAGGGAAAAATGCTGCAGAAGCTATCATGGCAGGTCCAAAAAAAGATAATAATCTTGGTCTAAGCAGAAGTCAAAATGTCAAAATGATCTTCCAAGAACATTCTGATACAGTCTTCAGCTTATCCTTCTATTTCCGTCTGTTTTTATTTAGATAACACAAAGATGGGCACTTTGTGTTATCAAACATGCAGGACATAAACCCCTGCATGTTTATGTCAACAGAAGTCAAAAACAAAGATTTGTAAAATGTATAAAAGTGATATCAGTCAAGTTCTTCAAATCCAATTACCTATGAGTGATGTGACAACAATGGAAGTGGAGAGATAATGATTTTACCAGGCAAAATTTTCTCAGTGAAGGGTGAATCTATTCTTTTGTTATGTTGTATCTGTGATATGAAGACTGAGATATTTGCTGTATGCAAGAACAGATTCAGTGTATCAAACGTCTTGCTCTTTCACAGAATATCTAATGAAAGGTGCATCAGGCTACTTTCTTCCCAGAAACCTTCCAGCACTTTATCAGCAGTGTTTTAGTGAATCTAGCACAGCAAACATCTAATCTAGCTCCAGACAGAAATAAAATGCAGGACTAAAAAACCCATTACAAGCTGTTTCACATATAATATAGATTCTGAAACTCAAATAAAGCCATCTCTGCACATTACAGATTGTTTTATAAAAAGTCTTGTTCTGCTAAATGAGCTGAACTGCATGTGTGGCTTAACCTTAGCCACACAAAAAGCAGAGGAAGGAGACAGTTATTTCATGATTGCTGCAATTTTCTATTTCTCACAAAGGTGCACAGTGAGTGACTGGTGTCTATTCAGCCACAACTCAAAGGTTGCAGCTAGTAAATATCTAGAACATAACATAAGAAAAATGTCGAAAATTTCTAGGATAGAGGAACATTTATCCTGGTAAATGCATCTCTCCACACTGAACATCAGTCCAGTTAATTTTGTAGGTAAGGTATATTTTATTTACACCCTTTTGGTTGATGTCCATCATGGAGAGAATAATTGGAGGACAAATAAAAAATACTATCAAAATAGATATCAATCAGATACTTTGTACTTTCTTCTAGCTCTTTGTTGGAACTATGTGAACTCACCATGCACATTTCGTATCTAATAGACCCATGACCTGACAAATAATAATTAGTGGGGATATAATAATCATTCATTTGATAAGAGGAAATTATTTATGACTTTGACTTCAGAAGAATCAAGTTCTGGTAAAAATTTAGAATGTGAATTTGTTTTATTAAAAAAAATAGTGAATGTTTCACAATCACAAGACTTGTTATTCCATGTAGAATAATACAGCCAAGGTTATTTCAATGTATTCAGTTTTTTGTGTTTATATAACTGTGAAGCCATTCTAATAGTGAAAAAGCATTGCAAACACTCTGTTTCAGTGTATTCACAGAAGAAGAACGCATGTTTAGTTTAGAGTAATCCAGTTCACTCACAGTACTTCCCTCTAAACTAAATGAATTCAATTCCTCCATCACTGCAGGAACAGAACCCATTGGCTCATTAATATGAATCAATTTTGCTCCGTAGTACCAACAGTAATGCATGGTTTAGACATTCCCTGCTTCACAATAATTGAATTAAATATGCACAGAATTAGCAGGCTAGAACATATATCAAGGCAGTTGATCCAAATATGTAAAACGGAGCACAAGCAGTCCCCAACAGGATTATAAATACTGGACTGCACAGCATTTATTTTAAAGCAGCCTGTTGAATATGGGTTTATTTGTGATAGGCAAGGCTGTTGCTGCCTTGCTGTCTTTTGTAATGGTGTATGAAATTAATAAAGCTGCTTTGCATTTTGTATATTGTACCCTACCCAGTTTTATTTTGGTAGACTCGCTCCTTGCATATCATACCAGGTTTTACTGCTCTGCCTAGTCCTCTGATTATCTCCATTGTTTTCAAACTCGATTCATCAGCCCCTGTGTGCATTTATGATCATGCGCTCCCTTCTTCCTCTGCCTGTCCCACCCCTCTTGCCTCAATTTACCCTGCCAACTTTACTGGAGCTGTTAAACAGGCCAGTTTTTCCCCTTTTCCTGCCCAAGATGATAAGAAATCTAACAGGATAGAACCAGAAGGTTCTAACTATCTCTGGTTCTAACTATCTTAATCACTGTATACTAGGAAGAGATACAACAGATTTGGGCTTTGTTTTAAATCTCTGATATTCTATTAAAAGATTAGAAAAATCTCTATGGAGTCATCTCATCTGGTAAGGGTTGCCTTTAAAGAGTTAAGGGACTCAACAGTGAATGAGATATTGCAGTGCAACACATTCAGCTGGATGTTGATGGCTTGAGAGAGAGCTTGAATGAATTAAACATTCAGACACAGCAGGGAAATGTGAAGACTGTGTAGTGACGTGGTGAGAGGAAAATGATGTTCATGTTTTAACTACGATTGCTACTGATGAGGACACGGAGAAGTAGGATAAAGAGAAACTGTAATGGAAGGAGGCGCCTACATTTGGGAATAACGAATAATCCAAATTTTGCCACAACTTCTACATTTTTAAGAGGAAAACTTTGAATTGAAATTATTGTAATTACAGCCTGAAAGGCAGCACCAGCTGGAGAAATAAATCCCTTAAAACATAAATGACGAAACTGGGTAGCAGAAAAACCATGAATTCATGAAAAATTAAAAAATTAAACACACTTCAGGAAGGCTATTTTGGCATCTGCTTCAGATGTAAAGCCTCATGTTTAAGGAGACAACAAAAGAAAGGTGCACAGGCTGGTACTATAAAAAAAAAACAAAAACAAAAAAAAAACATCTGCATATAGGTTAACTTTCTTAGCACTATCTGCTGGGCTAATCATGCTGTTACCTTGAATATTCAGTGAAAAAACAAACAAAAAAAAACTTGTCAAGTTATAATCGCCAAACTACAGCTACATGTTTCATTTGTCAGTCTTTGCTGATTCAAGATCATTGCTTTACAGTGCCCACCTTCTCAATGCATGTGAAATGTTGCTGTCAAAAATCAGGGACTTTTTATTTGTGTAGAAACTGAAAACGGCTTAAAGCGTCATTTCATTTTAAAACCATAATACCAAGGATCGAAAATGTCATTATGGCGATTATTAAAACTGGTAAGGATTTTGTCCCTAATCAAAAAAAAAAAAGTACCAGAAATTATATAACCTGATTGAGGTTCAAACTCTACAACACAAATTCTCATTGGATTACATAAAAAAATGACGGTACTTATTTTTTAATTCTTTGCTCTTCGGTGACAGTCCACACTCTATGTATGAATAACCGCAGTCTGACTCTACAATGTTGAGATCAGGACTCTGTGGGAACGATATGATGTTGGGCATCTTCTTCTTTTTATTGCTCTCTGTGGTACATTTGTGTTAAGCCAGTACCTTCAGTTTGAAAGAACATCAATCTTTTCGCAGCAGTGCATATTCCTAAGGTTGAATACCTTTTTTCAAAAATATTTTTAGTTATATTTGCACCAAAACAAAACAAAACAAAACAAAAAAAAAACAGGCAATACTTATTAAAATAAAAGCCAATTCCACATGCTGGTAACATTGCTGGAAAAAGATCACAGTGTATCTATTTAATATAAGGGATATATAGTTGTAACATTTCTATGAAAGTTGTTCAATCACTATTAGCACTAATTAAGAGGATTTGCATTGTGGATATTTGTCTTTTCCCATATAGTCTCAGGGTAAAGTTACATGAGATCGACAACTGCTTAATGGGAAACTTGGAGTTGGATTTTGATAAATTATTACCAGTGTTTTAATTAAACAGATTCTGATTCAACATAGATTCAGTTGAAAAATTAAAAAAAAACAAAAAAAAAACAAGTTACACTCAGAAACTCTGCCAGGCAAAACAAATTTAATCTTAAAACTAATGATCATTTTGTGAGTCCCAAAATGACAATTAAAACCCCCCGAGCCCTGCCAGAGTCGCTTTAGAAGATATACGTTTATTTTTTCTAAAGAAAAAATAATCAGCAGCAGAGGATTTGAGCAGCAGTCACGACTCACCTCGAACTTTGCCTTTTGAAGCCATCACTGCATTCCCCAAGTAGGAGACGAGGGGTTGGATGAACAGCAAGAGAGGCAGAAGTCAGAAAAAAAGGGAAAGAAAAAGACAGAAGACAGAGCAACAGATTAGATAAGTGTAGGGAGAGCAGAGTGTGGGTATCTGTTACACATATTTAGAAGCAACTCTATGTTGATCTCGAACGCTAGTTAAAAGTGTGAAAATCATTGGATTGCTCAACCCTTAAAGAGAACCTCCTGAATTAGCTCATCTGCAAATTGAAACTTTATAGTGTGACACCTTTTAATTAGTGGTGTCACATCATGTGGATTGGGAAAGAAACCATGTTGCCTTCAGATAAGTTTCAAAGTCTGTAAGGATACATGCAAATAGAATCCTTCATGCTTATTAGCAAGAGCTGTGCTTCTTTTCTTGTTCAAACCACAGGCTACAGATAAGAGATGGTTCTGTGGATATACACCTCTTTTTCAATGTATTTTTTTTTGGGGGGGGATTATATGCAAAGAGTATGCAAGTATATACAGTATTTATACATAATTGCATTTGTATACAAAGTTTTTCTAAGTCTTGCCACCGAATTGTTGCAGGAGCAAGGTCAGAACTTTGAGTGTGGTGGCAGAGGTTCATGAGATAGGAGTTTATTTTGCAACATGTGGGTTGTCAGTTCGATCCCCCACTCCTCTGTGAGTTGCTTCACCGGCCTTGCCTGCTGCTGGTGGTGAGGGGGCCCGGCGGCACAAACTGCACGGCAGCCCTCCATATGCCAGTATGCCCCAGAGCAGCCATGTCCACATTGTAGGTTTTCCCCATTAGTGTGTGAATGTGTGTATGTATGGATGAATGACAGATTGTGTTGCAAAGCACAAATGGAAGCCATTTACCATTCACACTGTTCTTTTCTAACTGAACTCCATCTTGTGCGATTCTTGACCATACAGCGTTAACCGAGACTGAATTGCAGATGGTTGTGATCATATAACAGTAAGTGACCACACAGCTTCTGAATGAAACTGGTGACATAAGATTTTATAAGGGGTATCCGAGTAAATGGGGGTGGATACAAATACACACCATACTTTACACGTAAACTAAAACACCGTGGTATAATAGTGCGAAAGGAAACATTGTAATCAGTATGAAGAACAGAGAGAGAATATGCCACAATGTGGGAGTATTTTATAAGCAGCTTAGTGGAAAAAAAATTATATGAGCCAACAAGGCCATGTTAAAAAAAAAACAAAAAAAAAACAAAACAAAAGGAACTGCAGCACCAAAGAATCACTTCTGAGACACCCTGCCAGTTAAATTAGAGAGGGTAAACCAAACAAAAGTCATAGATTGTCCACTGGTGTGCATATGTGTGCCTCTGCATTTGCAAGTACATCCCTGGAGAATGACTCTTATGCTTCACACGCACTGCTTTGCCAAATTGATGGATCTATTGGAAATCCTCCAGTGAGCCTGAAAACATGTACACCTCTAAAAGACAGCAGCTGAAGAACAGAAAAAGCTGAAAGAACAAGAAGAAGCTCATGGTAGGTGCCACGTTTGAGTTTATTTAGATTGCTCGTTTCTTCCTTCCTTTCTTTTGATTACTAATTTCTAAACAGTTCTCCTGTCAAACAACTAATTTAATATATCGAGTTTGTTGTGAGAAAAGTAAGTAAAAACTAGCACTGGATAGAAGAACTTCAAGCTGTTGGCAGCTAGAAGCAGAGGACGACCACTTTGACTCTCTCATATGTAGATATGTCTTTGTTTATATGTGAGTACGATTAAGTCCTGATAGCCAATTTCTAGTGCCAGATGGGGATGATTATATTTTGTTAGTACTGTATCACTTCTTGAATGAGATTGAGAATGAGATGAAGACTTTTTTCCCCCTTGCAATTTGTAGTGAATATTAAATGTAATTTGCATGAATGTTGGTCTATGGCGTCTCTGGTGATACATAATGGGGGCAGAAGATTGAGAATCACAGCAAAGACAATCAGATTTATCTGGAAAAGAAAGGTGTATTGGTTTTCGTTCGCATACAGAAAACAAATGTACTTTGGAGATTTCCACTGATATTTTCACAGCTTGCTGTTATGTCACCGGTTCAGAAGGAGAGAGCCCAACAGAGAAAAAGGGCAGTGGATGTCACATTTCTGCCAGTAATGCTTTCTACACGAGACTGATGGCTTTGTGAAACATTCCCTCAGCCTGTCTGACCTCAGCCTATAGCTGCCTTTCATCCTAGTTGTCAAGGTGTGAGCTCCATGGCACAACAGTGCCTGTATGATCTCTAAACCACTGAGATAAAAGATGGAACAAACTTATAGATTTTTTTTTTGCCACTGTTTTCTCATAACAGCTGTATATATAAACCATAAGGAGGGAGACAGAAGACAAACAGAAATGAAAAGTGAAAAAATATATATATACTGGCCGTCTTATTTGACTTATCCTCTAGAGTCTCTGCACATGTGGCCTATCTTGGAGTATTACAGTTTCTAGGCAACCAACACAACAGTTCTGTAAGTCAAGCTGAAATAGCATAAAACACTTTTTATTCAGCTCTCTTCTTCCCCCATTTTAAATTGCAATAAGCAGAGCATTTCTGATTGATTACACAATGTCCAGTTCTCCGGAGAGACAAAAGAGAGCACAAATACGATCAGAAGTGCCTCCCTACTACAGCCAACAGATATTGAGATCCGTCCGTCTTTACTGAGGAGTTTTAGAATTTCAGGTGAATGTGTGCACATTGTGCAACGATATCTCATAATATTAAAATGCCAAAAATGAGGTCTTTCTTGAGAAATGCTCTCAAATTGTTGTGTAAGGGTATATCCACACCCGACACATTTGGTCCACTTTAAATGGACTGGAGTTTGTTTTCCCAGTTGGTCTGGAGCTTTTGTGCAGGTGTCAATAGACTCAAGTGGATCCTGGTGCGAGCCAGGCTAAGACCCACTTTTTGAGGTGGTCTCGGCCAGCTTGCAAACAAATTCTGTTGAGATTTGCTTCTGGTATGAGTTCCAAACTAAACACAGGAAATGTATGTCTATTTGGACTTCGTGAGCCACCATTGCTGGCCATTATAGTATAAGTAAGCTCTTCAGCGTTGCTAACGCTACTGAAAATACTGAAATCATACTCGGTCCCCCGTTTTCTGCTTAGCCATGTATATCCTATATACAAATTAAGTTATAAGGATAGAACAGTCTGAACTATCACCTGTTTTCAACTAGATAAGAAAAAAAAACTGATTTAAAATATTATATGCTATATATTTATGACAATTACAATAAAGAACTGAACTGAAGTGAAATGAGGGCTACATGCTAAGATATTGTCTATTTTTCCATTGGTTGGTAACATCCAAGTGTATATAAGATTTCATACCGATGTAATATGCTTCAAAGCTAGCTCTATCAAATATTCAGATTTTACTGCTATCGGATTTCAGCTAGTTTTTAATTCTGAATTTCCAATCATTTAACTTTCATCATTGTTTCATAGAGAGAAACTTGTGTTCTATTGTTTCCTTAATACAGATTGTGGAGCCTCTCCTTGCAATGAATAATAACTGAACCCTTTTTAAAACTATTTTATATGTTTTGGCTTGATAAATATTTGCAATGACAATGATGTGCTTAACCACTTCTTGAAGAATTGCCTGAATCTGTCTCAGAGCTATTGATCCAAGTTATGTGTAAACAGCCGCATTTTACCTGAGAGGATGAAAAGACGGCGCTGAAACAGAGAAGCACCGAGTTGCAAGCAGGTTCTTCCCCATCTCTAACCATCAGCAGGGAGCCGTCATAAATAAACTGTGTGATAGTTCATACAGAAGCCACCTACTGTGGCCCCCACGCACGCACACACACACGCAGACACACAGATACACAGCCGTGATCACAGCACTCCCTTAAGGTAGGAGTCTCCTGGGAGAACGTGTGTTCTATTGCAACATCCTTCCTGTTTTCGTCCTTCTTCACCCCATTCTGTTCTTGTCCCCCACCCCTTCTCTCTTACACTTGTGCTCACTCAGGAGTTTGTCTCTCCTCCCTTTTCATATTCACTCTACCTCCTTATTAACTGTTTCCTTATCTAAATCTCACTCTCCCCTTCTGCGTTTTCAATGCCCTCAGGCTACTTTCTCTTGCAGAGGCAGATATATTTAGAGTCTGACAGGCAGAGAAAAGCCTATGGAGATCGATGTGTGCAGCGTGCCTCTCTGAGCTGTCACATGACATGATGGAGAGTTTAGCTTATCTTTAGTACAGCAGCAGCTGTTTTTTCCGTATGTCTGAAGTTCTTTGGGCCCTTGGAATTGGACCAATATGCTACCGGTGAGCAGATTGCTGTTAAACCTCAGCATACTTCCCGTCACCTTGACTTAGCTGGACATCAATTCACACATAGACATTTAAAGGATATATATCCCACGACATGTTAATAGCGAGGTCTATGCATTTGTGACTCTTTCGATTTGCAGACCAGCATGACTGTGAAAAACAACAACAATATACTCCTCGGATTCATTTAATCAAAAACAGGTAATATATTAAATTTGGATTTGATTTAGCAGCGAATGCATTCTTATTCTGTTTAGCCAAACTTTTGCTAAGGGCTGCAATTAATCTCTGGATAATAAAGGAGGTGGTAAACAGTGTTAATAGATGGAATCAAACTTACTTAACTCGGCTTATTGCCACCATATTGCCTGCTTTATTGGATCAGTCTGACACACCCTTGTTTACTCACATTACAGGAAGACACACATCTGTTTGTTTTGTCGTTTAATCTAGCATATTTGATTTCGCCTCCTTAACATGATTACACATAAATAACCTGTTTGTAGCAGAATCATGTGCTTCCATATACTGAGCTCGATGCAAACATGTGGACACAAGCACACAACCACAAGGTAATGGTATCCACAGGGAGAGTTTAACGCTCTTTTTCTCAGGTTAGAAAGCCAAACAAATGTTATGGTAACATGTGAGCGGATTTAGACAATTTTGCTCTTTAGCTGTACCAAATAGATGAGCAAGTACTGTATCCAGACTGATTCCATATTCCAAGGATTCTACAGTTTGCATAATAAAACATAGGTTGATATCCTCTGCATGAATTTAGCTGAGGGAATGGGATGTGGTTCACCTCCAGACATACAGCAATGCACGTTGTTGATTGAATGTCCCCTTCTGTCTCATTAGTCAACAGAATACGTCCTCACGGATGATAGACGGCATATTTGCCCAATCCCTTTCCCATAATTAAATCATAAACACAGAACTATGTTCTGTGAGTGGTTCATATGTTCTTGATTTAATTTTGGTGGACTGGCCATTCGTGGGAAGGCTTACCAGTGTTTCGCGTTCTCTCCATTTGTGGATTAGTGGGTCTCACATTGACTCTCTGGTGACGTAAAAGGCTTTGTAACCTTTTCCAAACTGATGAATCTCTTTAATTTCCATGTATTTGAACTTTTTTTAATCAGTTCATGATGTGTTCCATTTTGAGATCTTTTCACCTGATTAATGTTGTCAGGCAGGTTCGGTTAAAGTTGTGTTTGATTTTGTGGGTGTGGCAGGAATTAGGTCTGAGCAAACAGCCCCCGAAAAATGTTCATTAAAGGTCATAAAAATGTTACATAGAGAGTAATAATTTAGTTTACATATATCCAGCTTTGTTTGGGCAGTTGTTTACCTTAAAAATAATAATCTCATCCTGTATTTTTTTTATTTTTATTTGCTTGGGCTATGTTTGTCTTGTGTTCAAATTTATTTGATGTTCTGAAACTGTATACCTACACAATGGAGACACCTGTGACAACAAGACAGTACTGGTGATTATAGCTATAATTACTGTCACTAAATACAGCTGAAACCAGATGTTTACAAATACAGAATAAAAAATAACCTTCTTCTTAACATCTGTTATATCTATGAAAACTATATAACACTGAAAACTGCTATGTGAATTTTTTATGTATGTTAACGTAAATATTTTTTTTACACTCTATATTTAAAATGCTTAAATAAAAAACAGAATTTTTTTGAGAAACTATTTCAACCAAATTGATTCTATTTATAATAAAACTCATAGCATTCTGTATACTTAGTCCTCTACTAATTGCATATCCATTCATCATTTGTCCATTTAAGGTTACTGTGACTAAGAGGGCAGTTCTAAATCACTAACTAGAGAAAAACAAAAAAAACAAACAAACATGATACATCAGTTCATATGAGTTCCTCTGTTGGTCTTTGATCCTAAAACTGGGAGCAAAATGGTAATGTCCCTTACAAAAAAAAAGATGTTTTACCATGGACACAATCTTAGGGGGGGAGGTTCAGTGACAGTGGCCTGGAAATTTTAATGTCAAGACATTTCCTTTTCCAGCTCTTTTGTCACTTGACTTCGCAGCTGTTCCTTAAGAAAGGTCACTACATGCACAAGTACACAAAAAAACAAGAGTTCGCAATTTTGAAAAACTGCACCTATTCTTGCTCATTCACATGCACAGAGCACACACATATACAGCCTGTGCACAGTACAAGTGCAGCCCATCACAGATTTGGTTTTATTCACAAATGAATACCTAAAGCACCTAATGTCGCACATCCATACTGAATCAAAATCAGCTGCCAACTTGTCACCTGGTTGGAGTGGTTAAATATATCTTTTTAAATAGCCAGGCCACTGTTAGTAAAAACAGAATGCTTAGAGAAATGTATGTTTAATGTCCTGGGAGATTAAGCCTTTTTTTTTTTAATTCAAAGTTTTGAAAATATATGTAATTGAATTTAGATTTTCAAGAGTTTAGTAAGCATTTTTATAGGCATATGCCAATGCAACATGCTATACCAAGCTATAAGGTCAAAAGTAGAAACTTATCAACAAATTAATTAATGTTCATGTGGGCAATATAGTGATGCTCACCATCTATTTTATTGCTTACACCTTATTTATGCTCATTTATGCAAACATTTTATAATGGCAGACAGTAAATGTGTGTATGTGTTAAGACACATTTAATTAAGAGTCTGCAGAATTAAGTGTGCAGAACTTCAAGTGAAGCATTGGACTGAGGAAGAAAGTTACATTTAAAAAAGCCGGAGCTGTAGATGACAAGCATGGAGTTGAATTCATGATTTTAATATTCTATTGACTAAACGTAAACGATGAAACTGAACCGCATTTATCCTCAGACAATAAGACAACACACCCACAAAATAAATAAAATAAAAATAAAAGGAAGTGAAAACCTCACTAGAATGTAAGTAATACATTTCCTCAGTTTTCGTCTCATAAAGACGTAACGCACTGGTCTGTGCGCCGAAGCGCATGAAATGCATCTATGGGGTAATTTTATTCCCACTAAAAAAAAAAAAAAACAGAGTTGCATCAGCAGATTAACTCCAAACAGGTCAGGTTTGATTATTTTTAAGGTGATTAAGGTGTGTAGACACGTACATAATTAGCTGCACAAAGGTGAGCCGCGTAATTGTGTAGGGCTTTGGCTCTGATGGAGAACATCGCCAATTGAAGGATTCAAAGGGAGCGTTTGTTCAGAGATCATTTTGATCTGCTGGAAAATATTAATGATGGTTTATTAGTGTTTAGATTGCTCAGACTGATCATCCTGGAGCTCTGAGCAAAACGTAAAGAAGGAATGCGTTAACTGTACTGGTGCAACTGCAGGCATCCGTCATTCGAGCATTCCGCTTTGTGAATGTGCCTTTACGGACAGAAAACATCGTTCTGTAAATGTACAACTTATGTACATGATTCCACTATTTAGAATACATGTCTACATTCCCACTCAAATGACTCTCTGACATGCTGTCTGTCTTTAAAACCCAGCTGAACACGCTGCTGTTCAAACAGACATTTGCTTTCTTTTTTTTTTTTTTAATGTGGATTTTTTTTCTTTAAAATGGATCATTTTTATTTTTGTGAGGTGACCTCATGTGCCCTGAAAGCATCTTTTAAATAAATTATATAATTATTATATTATAAATACTTATACTGCTACAACCAAGGTCGTTGCCATGGTTATTGCTTCACGTGGTGGCAGACTTCCGGGTATTCATACTAATTTATGTATTTGTGGGCGGCGACAGGGTGGACCAGCAGCTGCGCTCTATTTCCTGCAAATTGAGATTTTTAAAGGAAAGGTGTGCAGTCATGTGCGTGCTCATGGCTTTATACATCCAGATTTAGTGTTTTAGTGTGAAAACTTGGCGTGCACTCTTTTACGCATGAGGCCCCAGACGTGTGGTGCACAACACGGCTTTGTTTTGTACATCATTTGTGCCCAGCATTTTCTCCATCACACCATCTCTTTCGCAAAGCAAATAGTTTTAATGACATGTCAGTGCAAAACTGCTCATCAAGTGCAGTGGTGATTGACCAATTTACACTCTTGCATGTCAGATTTGACCTTTCACCAAACACACAGTAGCCAGGTGAGTCCTCATCTCCGCCAGTAAACTGGCAGGCTACATGCAGGATATGTCGGCCATTCATCACAAGGCAACACAGGACATATGCACACACACACACACACACACACACACTTACACCAAGAGGCCATTTAGAGATTGCAAAAATACTAGCATGCATGTTTGTGGACTTTGGGAAGAGTACACGGAGTGATCCACACACTTATAGTCTGTAAAAATATGTACAGTACAAAGTTGTAGCTATCCTGTCAGAGTAAAAATCATTTGTGCTTTTTTGTCCATTATGGCATTCTGTCATATTCATAAAAGGTTGTCCTGTTTTGTTTTGCATAACATGCCCCTAAAAATACTTCATTTAAATACTGGTAATTCATCAGTGCAGAAAAAAAAGGACAATTTGTTTGTCTGCAGTTCAAGAAGCAAATATCCCTTGGCAAAAGTGTTGTGAATTAGATAAAACTTCAGTGTGTTGCTGTTTGCAGAAAAAAAATCTACCCTGTATGTTAATGAATTGTGCCTTCATTTTAACTTTATCACCCAATACGCTAAAGCCGTACAGGGTACGGGCTTAATAAGGTCAGACAATAAAACACTGGAAAAACTTTATCTGATCTCAGTAAGCATTCAAATCCAAAACCATCATTTAAATGTCACATCCTGTCCGTGAATAACTGCTGATCTCGTTGACCACTTTACGACCACTACTCACCCATCTTTAAATGGCTCCATCTGCCAGTATAATTTCACAAACCTCATATCATCTCAGACTGTTGTCTCAAATATAACAGTGAGTTCCCTGGATTCGAATGTCCTGCACAGTGACCAAGTTACATCTGAGTACATCTTTGGTGTGACTGTAAAAAATTGCATTATGATGCTCTGACTCCATAATCTGATTGTAAAGGTTTAATATTTTTTTTTAGATAAAATATACCAAAACCCCAGGCGGAAGTTTCCTGTGCCAAATCTCCATGGCACCTGCTAAATCAGTGCCATGGAGATTTGAAGTAGTCATGAAAGTTAGGTAAGGTTTTTTTGTATTTTGCCAAGGTCTCATCATTGAATGAGCGTAGGGAGATTTATTTTTATGCATCATAATACAGAAGGCGGGGTAAGACGGGAAAAAAGAATAAAAACAGATCACAGAGAAGGTCATCTAGAAAAAAATTGCACTTGGACTGCAAAAACAAAGTTAGGTGTATGCAGACACATGCACACCCAGAAAGACAGTCCATAAACTTCTTCCATTTTAAACTTTAAAGAAATCCCCCCTGGCCACAAGGAGCACATTTCAATTTCCACATAACGCCAGAGGGGTATCTAAAACATGAATCTTCCCAACAAGAGAACTCAAATAAATATTGCTATTGGGTGATGGACACACCAGAATATATACGCATACTTTGAAGCACACGCATATAAACAAAATGCATACTGTCAAGCAGGTACTGCTGTTGGATGATGGACAGTCCAGGTATAGCCTATAAGTCAGCACAAGCCTTTTTGTTTCCTTCGCTTCTTCAAATGAATACTTAGGAAGTAGAAGTTATAGTGTGATCGATGCCTGGGGGGTAACAAATGCCTTTCCCCAGACAAATCTTCAAGAGGATACGCACGTCCTGCCACCAACCTGTAATCTCTCGACAATTTTTTCAGTTAGAGGCGACAGGAGATTTTCAGGAAAAAATTCCAAACTTTTTTTTTTTTTTTTTTTTTTTTTACTCTTCAGAGGTCAAATCCCCATAAGATGCATTGGTTGCTTCCCTCGGCATCAAGTACTTTGTCAAATTCAAACATACGGATTGTCCAATATTTCCAGGGGATTTTCCCATTTTGCAGCTTTATTCTTCCTGTTACAGAGCATGTTGAGGAAGAGAGGCTTTTATCCTTGGTAAAGAGAAACACATAGCGTCTAGAAAATGCCTCCTCCCCTTGATAGTGAGACTTTGATCAAAAATGTGTCATAGCATTTTGCTTGAGCTGAATTATTCAAAGGTCAGTGAACAAAGCCGTGTTTGTGCTGGGCTGCCTTACAAAGGGTAGAATGATGGTAAATTGGCAAAGTGTTCACTGTGTCTCTGTGGGGAGCTGACCGCTGAGCCTCCCCCTCAAGGGACCATTTGGCATCAAACAGTGCAAGCTCCCTGTGATTGTTGCTGCTTCAGTCACGGCTAGGCTGTTACTTTCAAACCATCACCTTTATAGCCCTTTCTGTTTAGAACATTATGTTGCTGCAGCTTTCAAGCACATAAAGAGATAAGACTACTAATTGAAAATATCTGGTATTGTTGGGTTATTCCCCAAACTGACACTGGATGTATGTACAAACATATTAATACCCCTGGGAAATTTCACTTTGTAAAAACAAGTTGTGAAGTGGGAGAAAGTTAGTATGTCAAATTTAATCATAAAAGAAATACTTGAAAGTGTGCGGTGCATTTGTATTCAGCCCCCCTTTCTCTGATAACTCCAAAATAAGACGTATTGCAATCAAATGTCTTTGTAGGTCAAACATATTTGTATTTAATTCAATCTCAGTATCAACACCGGCGCTCCCTAAATTTGCAGGGGGTTAGAAGATGTTCTGTTAATACACTGGGCTTGCAGCTCACCTATGGAAGAAGGTGCTGTGGTTTGATGAAACAAAAACTGAACTGTCTGCTCAACATATGATGTGAAATATGTGGTGGAAAACTAAAACTATATATAACCCCAATGACATCACATTCATAGTGAAACATGGTGTTGGCAGCACTATGCTCAGTGGAGGCTTTGTTCAGCAGCTTATCAGATTTGATGAAAATATGGATGGCACAAAATGCAGAGCAACCCAGAAAGACAATCTGGCACAAGCAGTAAAAGACTTGAGACAAGAGTAGGAATTTGCCTTCTAACAAGATAGAAAGTGTTAAAATACAACACAGCTGTTCAAAGCTACACATATTCATTTATTTATTTATTTAGATTTTGACTGTATCATTACAGCCAAAATTCGATCCAAAATCTTTGGCAAAACTTGACAGTTGCTGTTCAGTCAGTTCTCACCCAGTTTGACTGGGCTTTGAGATCTTTTGCAAAATAGAAAGAGCAAAATCATGTGCAGAAATGGTTTACAAATTCTCCAAATATGTGCAGCTACAATTTGTAGTGAAAATTGTTGTACAAAGGATTGACTCAAATAGCAAATAAGACATCTATGTCACACTTTGTTTTGTTTTTTTTTATCTTAAAAAGCCTGTTAATCATCATTCGGTTTCTTTCCGAATGATAAATCTGAAGGCATTTACAATTATTATTCTTTAGGAATTCAAGTCCAACATCATATATTTCTTGCATCATTGTTCATCAAGAGTTCTCTACTCTAAATATTTGAAGTATCCCCTTAGCAACAGCCAAAACCTATTCTGATTTCTCTGTGAGTAGGCCAGTGGAGAGGGTGAGAACAAGCTACAGAGTGGGGGAGGAAAGTAAAGAGATATCAGGGAAGAAGTAGGAGAAAATTGGTAACCTTGAGGGTTTGTGTAACTTGTGTACTGTATGCATAACAGCCTTCATTACACTTGAGCAGCTTCCATTATTCATGCCGTGTTCCTTAAGAAAAACTCAAGTAGGTGTTTGAGTGTGGGGGTTGCGGATTCATATTTATTAAAAATGCAACCGCCACATATACACAAAAGTACTGCCAAGAAAGACAGGCAGGGATGTGTGGCAGAGCTTGTGGGCAACGTTGCATGCAGGTTTACAACAGGACTTTGCCTCAGTAAATGTTGCCTTTGATCTAGAAATGCACAAAGCATACCTGGATGGGAATGATGTTTATGAAATACATTTTGCAAAGGACACACAACTTGTATGTTTAGTTCTTTGAAATAATATTTAGACCATCTGACACCCCCACCCCCAAGTACCACCACAGGCAGAGTACTTTGATATTTTAATGGATAATTGTTTTAACTGGGAAAAAAGCAATGCGTGGTTTTCTTAAATTTTCCCAAACATAATTCTAAAAAAGTGTTGCATGCATTTTTATTCAGCTCCTGTGAATCACTACATTGTAAAAACTTCCTTCACTTTGACTAAAACAAAATGTATTTTGGGGAATGTCTCAAGCTGTCATCTATCCAGAGACTAAAATTTTGCCCACTCTTCTTTGCATAATAGCTCAAGCTCAGCCAAATTAGATTAAGAGCATCTCCATAGATTCTCAATTAAAGGGAGCTCTTTTGGAGGCTGTAGCAGGTTCTCTTCCAGATGTAACTTGTATTTAGTTCCATCCATCTTCGATAAACTCAAATCAGTTTCCCTGTCCCCACTGAAGAACAGCATTTTTTTGTAAATATGTTGCAAACCTTGTGTGTTTTTTCTCATTTTCTTTGAAAATATATTAATCCAAAAAGCCAAATTAAAATTGTTGTTCCTTAGTTTAAAAATTTTAACAAATGTCCTTTATTTGTCAAGATCTTGGGTTGTCTTTGCTTTTTTTTTTTTAGGTTTGAGGTTTTATTAATTTGTTCTCATGTGTTCTAGAAAACAAATGAACAAACAAGATCAACCTTGTTTTTGTTTTTCCTTAGTCATTTCAGTTTGTGTTTTTCTTTCTTTGTGCTTAGTTATTCTTCTCCACATTAGTTGTTATCCAATTAGTTGTTATTCTCCGTAGTTCTGTAAATTTGGTTTAATTATTTCTTTGTTAAAAAAAATCTTAAATTTTACATCTGTATTTAGGCACGATCAACCCACTGAAGCATGATAATAATACTCATTATTAAAACAAGCCAATTTGCTTCAAATTGTTTCTTTTGTGGTTCTAAATAAATTTAGTTTAGCTGAGCAGAAACATTTACTTGAGGAACCTTTTGGAAAAAAAGATGTTTTAGGAGTGATTTTACTACACTGTAATTTTACTTTTCTTTGGGTAATATTATTCCAAAGTAAAACTCCTCTTACTTGAGTAAAATTTATGTGCACTAACCCTATGTGTTAGTGCACATAGGGTTTAGGAGAGAAATCTTGTTAAACAATTTTAATGGAGATGATGTGCAAGTATACTAATAACCCGAATATATGACAGGAAAGAATTATACATCCGAAGGTTAACGCTCATGGCGTATTTAATCAAAACTAGTTCTTGACTGCTGGAGCTGAAAATCCAGCTTAAGCATATAAGCCAACTTCTTCTTCAGCATTCTGAAGTCACTGCACACCTGTTCAGCTTTTTAAAATATGTTTATTTAATATCTATTCTTTAACGTTTCATTCACCTTTACAAAATTAAATGATATACCCTTGATTTTTGTTTCACTAACAAAATTCACTACTATTTATTTAGGGGCTAATCTGTGAGTAGCCTTCTTTACATGAATCAGTCAGGCAAAAATTATGTAAGACATGAATAATTCTTAATATTAATTGTTAATATGTCTTCTGTCAAACAAAAGGAACAAAACGCTGTATTCGATTACCAAAGACAAATTTGAGCTCATCTGGGTCATTCCGAACAAACTGAAGTGAAACTAATTCCTATTCAATTGTTACCATCAAGTGAATCAAATAAATAGAAATGGTGAGCTGTTTGCTTTTTTGTGCCCCAAATTCAAATCAAAATTGACCTCAACAGGCTCCTATTATTGCTGTACGCCTCTGTAAGCATGAGTGTGATGAGCAAAGAATGGTAATTTATTTCCTGGAGGACAAGAGAAAGGACCAATCATATCACAAAAAAATAAAATAAATAAATAAAATTGTATATGTTTCACAAAAGGAACACTCTCTAACTGTTATGCTCCCCACCAGGCTTCCTGTTGAGCTTAGCTTTCACCCTTTCTTCCCTCCCTTCTCCTTTCCTGTCTTTCTCAGCTTTTGCAAAGGTGTAAATTGGACACAGATAATTTAACATTACTATCCTGGGAGCAAGTGCCATCTGGTAAACGTCCGCCCCCGACATCAAGTGCATTGCACAGGCATCCAAACGTCAGAGTGAACCATCATGCAGTTGTGAGTGAGTGAGGACTTGGTCCTTTACACTTTAACAACAATTTTAGTTTGTCTTTATTTACATGGAAACTTAAGTAATGTTTACCAAATGCATCACTGCTGAAACTTAAAAGCATTTTAATTTTATCAGTTAAAAAAATAATAGTTTTTTTTCTTTAGAGCTAGACACTTAGCTGTCATTTTTATTACCTGCTATGAGGCTCTTACGGTATGATAACCGTTACCTGAAAATGCTTGGCTTTGATGGCATCAGTTTTTATACAAAACTGTAAAAATGTAGAGCATTTTTTATTCATTTTTATTTAAAACCACAAGATAATTATTAATACTGTTGCTCAATTATGTATTTATCACAGGTAATGTTCTATTTAACATTTATGTTATTTTGATATGTACTGTACATACGGGCCTGTTCTCAATGTTTCTTTAAGCTGAAGACATTTTAAAGATTTATGAATTACATTCTAGTTCAGTCACCAAAAGCATGATTATATATGAAGTCTTAGTTACAGCACTTCTAAGTTATTAGTTTAAATATTTTATTTATATAAAATCTATTTAGGTGGTTAAAGGAACAATCATAGAGAAAGAGCCCATTGATTTCTTAGCAGTTTTCATATAATTGTCCTTATGTGGAATGCAATCCCCTTTTGCATGCTGAATTTTTTTAGAATAGTACTAATGGCCTAACAAGCTAATAATAGCTAATAATTAGTGAAGTTAGCTGCTTACCAATCATGCTGGTTGAAGCTTGCCAATTGTAGTTTTAAAGCTGTGTTGCCTTAGTAAGACTGACTGGTGGTGTGACTTTACTTTCCACACCATGACTGTCCTTGACAAATTTGTCTTTGCCATAAGCTTTCAGCTAACTGGCAATCTGCACAGGTGGGGCTGGGGGCTTTATAAGTCTATGCTTTAAACACTCTGTGCTCCCTTCAGGTCTTTTTCAAAAATGTTCTCTAAAAGTCTTATGAACTGCACAAATGACAATCTGAAACAGTTATAAAACTGACACATTTCAAAATCCTTGTGAATCTTGATATTTGAAGCAGGTCTGTGTCAAGCTGTTATCCATTTATGTGGCTTTGCATCTTTTCTCCTCGATCCTGATGGATCATACATACGTACATACAACACAATGAGCGCATTCCATGAGATTCCTAACAAAAACCCAGTAATTGACTGGAGCTCGTTATGATCCACACATATAATGAGACAAAATGCCTGCATACATTTTTGAAAAGTGTTAATGGTCCCCTTTCCTGCTCACTTGTCCTGCAACACACACAGCTGATTAGCAGTTGGCATTTCGTCTTGGCCGTGTTCAAAATGAGCAAAGCGACATCACAATCTCAAAGATGCTCTCCTCGCCGGGCTAATGGTCAGAACACAATGGCTGCTCAACCACTTGATGGATCATTGAATGATTATGTGTTATTTGGCATTGTGCCTTTATGGTTACTTCACTTGTGTGGGTGTGTGAATGCGTGCGCATTTGCTTATGAATGTGTGTGAAACAGGGAGGCAAAGGCAGTCCTTATTCTGTGGCTGTGGACTCCCACAGACCTTTTAATGCAAGCAGTACTGCCAAGGACCCGCAATGTCATATCCATCAGAGCCGATTTTCTGTCAGGGCCAGACAAAGGTGTTGACATCTCAACACCACACAGTGAGTGAGGAGACCATTGAAATGTCAGTTACCTGACACACACCCATGCTCTCGAAGATGGGCGGTAGCCGGTGATTGTCAGTTGGTAACTCAGGAAAAAGGCCACTGCATATATGAAGCTGAGGAGGAGCACTCCACTGAGACTCAATGAATGTGTTTTTTTTTTTTGTCTGCTCAAGCGAGTGTTCAGTTGGTACAATCGCACCTGTCAACCGTGGCAAATCAGAGCTCATCAAAATTATTTATGTCAACCTACTGAATGTTTAAAATTAATTTTCAAAATTCCAAAGGTGCATTGCAGGAAAATCAGAAAAAGTTGCACTTATCAGATGGTATTACAAACACAACTCTAAAATCATCAAAAAGTAGGGTACAAAGAAGTAAGGATCATTCATTCATTCATTCATTCAATCATGAATGAATGAATGAATGAATCATCAAGTTGACTGCTTTAAGACACAGATATGGAATGCAGTTTGTACATATTTTTCTGCTCTGTGTTGGGTTTCCATACAAATCCACACATGGAAAACACTTCTCAAATTCTACTCCTCTACAGCTGTATAAAATATGAATCTGGAATTTATGTTTGGGTTTGAAAAATATGCATAGCAAGTAATTAATTTGAATTCAACCATTATCTGGTTTTAAAGAAAATTTCTGAATTGACATATATTCAGTTTTACTGGCACTATGTGGAGATTGGCCATATAGACGGAGAAGCATTCTCTCTTTGTACTCCCTTTTACAGTAAGAAGTCTCACTGCTGCAATCCAAAGTGGCTGCAAGACAGATTGAGCTCCTTGACTGATTCTTAAAAGGGACAGCTGTCAAGGTGAGAGGATATGAAAGCCTCAACTGTACAAATCCTAAGCCTTTTTTCCAAGTGGTCAAAAATGGAAGCGGGCATTGCTGAGTATTTGGTTGTCATCAAGTGCAAAGATTAACATATCAGTCTGGTCTGCTTAAACTGAAGGACTTTTTCTTCTTTTTGCCATCCACAACTCATACCAGTAATGGATAAAATAGACTGTCTGTATATAATGGACACACCAAGAAGTACAACCTGGAACAAACTGTATAACCACAGTAAGACAGGTTATAATAACGGAGACTCTAAATATATAAAAACTAATGAATAGGCCTACAAACTGTATTTAAAAAATGTATGGTTAAATGCAAAATTATAATTGCTCAGAGGCTTATCTGGAAACAGAACATGAAAATAGAATAGTAAAGCAAATCCTGTTAGAATTATACAAGACTTTTAAGCTGCACAATACTTTGACCTGCAAACACTATATAAGATCAATATATCAAAATTGTAAAAGACTGCTTTGATGCAATAATTTGTAGGTTATGATGTTTCAGATACCATGCACTTACACTATGCTTGTAAATAATATTTATTTATGCTTAGACCTGATATAAATCTTAGAGGTCAGACAGACTAGCATAGACATCATAATGATCATAAACAACTGGGATTGAGGGGTCTGTAACCATTAGGTGATCATGCAGAGATGGAATGGTGGATATACTGAACATAGCACATTGTACATTGAGATGGCAGGGAGGAGGAAAAACAGAAACCTCACAGAAGACTTGCTAAAGAATAATATCCACAGGGTTAGGCTTGCTTTTGGAAAAAGCTTCCATCATGGAATACTCTTTTTCAACATTCTTGAAAAGCAGATATAGATCCCAAAGGAACTTCTTGTCCGCAAACCAGGTGACGAAACCAGAGAGCTATACCAAAAGCAAGTTAAAATGTATAACTAATGAGAAGGGAGAGTTGTCGTCAACCTGCATCCACTTGATAAAGATCACTTTAACAAGTCTGGCAAAACATCTTGCAGTATCTGACCCCCTGCCGCAGATCACTCACGCAAAGGGAACACCCGTAGACTTCAAAAGACCCCTGAAAAATGTTGTAGTCAAAGCTTGGCATTTAGTCAACTGATAACAGCGGCAGGTGATTGACTAGAACATCTCTGTGCAAAGCAGCTGACCTTTCAATAACCTGTCCACATGTTGTTTAATTCACTCATTAACTACTCTCCACTAAATTTGGGTTGTGTTTTTTGATATAACTAAGAGTTCTTGAAATGTTATTGCTGTAAACAATTCAAAAATCTTCCTGGAAATAGTTGTGCTTTAGTTTTGTCACTGCTTGACATTTAGGAGGTTTGCTTAGTTAAAGACCGACCTGCATAAATCAGCAGTGCTTTCGAATTACATTGTTCATCACATGATGGAATTTATATGTTGAAGAATCTGATGCTAGTCTATATTTTGTCAAAAGTAACAGTTTCCCAGTGAGACAATTGGTCTCACTATGGAGTAAATAAGACACTACAATACACTAGCAAGATTACCAGTATTTTAATTAACACATCCTAGCAGAATGCCTTCCTTTGAAATGGAGACCTTATAGTACTGTTTTGACATTATTGCCACACTGCTGCACTCTCTGCCTGTTATAAATTCTGAATCATTATATGAGTTTCAAAAACATTTTTTTACTGTATCCACAGTGGTCACTACAAAGCTTTGTTATCCAATCTCTGTAAACCTTTCCCACACCATTTGCTAAAAAGATGAGATTATAGCTTGTCAAGCTGACATTTATTGGACAGAACAGAGCTTCTTCGGTGACTGACTCAAATACACCAACTTCCCAACTGTTATTCAAGCTATATTTGTCTTCAATTTAATAGAGCAGCTTCTTTCACTGCAGAATGTTGGAGTAAGCCATCCCACCCCAAAAGTCCCTTCAAGGCAATCTCTGCCTTTTATTGCAAAATGAAATGAATGTCACCAAGACATATATGTTTCTGTTCCTCTTGATTCATGGACACAGACTATTTTTTTAGCCACATCTTGAAAAGCTTCTTTATTTAGCTCTAGTTTCTCTCTATTATTTTTAGAACATTTCTTCAACTATGTTACTTGAGTGTAACGCAATTAATGTGCTCCTTCATTCCAGAAGTTATTACTTCTGGCCTCCTTTTGATATGGGAGCAACAAGACTTGGCTATGTTTAAGAGAAAAGGGAACACAGCCTTTGTCTCCTAAAATAAAAATACATGCAGGCAAAAATAATAAAATCAAGTCAAAGTTACTTCCCTTGTAAAAAAAAAGAAAAAAAAAGTCACCAGTACTGAACACCTAACCTATTTCCTTTGAAGGAAAAACACTAAGACCCTGTGTTGACATTTACTATACTGTTGTCCTCAACGAAGGACATCCAGAGGCCATGATCAAATATCTTTTCCTATTTTAATGGGTAGTAGTAACCTCTTACATCAGCACCCGTCCACTTAGATCCATCAGCACACTTCCACTTAGACCTGCCTGTTTGTCTCAGTTGGTTGCTCTTTCCTCCCAAAGGAAAAACACCATAAAACAGGAGAAACCTTTAGGGGCAATACAACCATGCATGTGCATCCATGCATGCTAAACACACACACAAGTACAGACAGACATAAAGAGAGAGAGAGGCTCAAGAAACTATTTTTGTCTGAGTAAGAGCAGGGTGACTTATGTGAGGATTTCATTCAATAAGAGATTCATGTTTTCCTGGAGTAGAAAACTTATTTTGGAATGAATTAACATGCTTTACATAGTCCTATTTTTATTATGTTATTATGATTACGATAATTCACAAGTCAATATTTTTGGTTTCCCCAAAGCACCTGATACCCTACATCCAGTGCGTCATGCAAGTGGGTGGAGCTATGTCTCCTGGTATAGTAGTGTCCTCTGACATTTGCATATTTACACAATGTGATTGTATAGCATCTAAGAATGTATTGTCTATAACTCTTACATTGCTCTACATAATTTGTTGATTCTATGGAGTGAAATCCAAGGGGTTTTTGTAACTGCTAGTGAGACTTTGCTGCTAATATGAGAAGCAAAATGACTTCCAGGCTAGAATTAATAAAGCATTATTAAAAATAATGGTTAGGAAGACATACAGGTGGAGAAAATATGCCAAATGTGAGATCAGAAAGTTTTGCTAAAACTGCCTACAAACCTGTTCACTGAACAGTATGACACTGCATGTACAGTAAAAATGTCATTTGTTTTCTGTTTATACATTTAACCTGTACTTTGGCCAAGATATATTTGAGGAGAATTTTGAATGTCTTTGAGAAGTGTGGTTGATACAAAACCCTAAGAAAAACAAATGTAAATAAAGAAAAATAATGACAAAAACAACAGTGTGGGCTGTTACAAACAGTCCATTTTATATCTGTGGCACAACATACCCAGTTCCAGTTTGTCTTCAGCATGTATTGTAACTGCTGAGGAAAATCCTGCTTCTGAGTCGTATTGATTTGAGGGTTCCAGTCCACTGTTTATTCGAATGCACCACCGGGTACTTGTGTGGAAATGCGTCTGTTTATGCTGTCGTGTGTGTGTGTGTGTGTGTGTGTGTGTGTGGGGGTGTGTGTGTGTGTGTGTGTGTGTGGAGTGGGGGTTTGGGGGGCTCAGCATCGATCCCCCACTTTGTTCCAATTATCAGTAAGGTTATAGAGCCTAATACTGCTATACACACAAGCATTAGAGCATCACAGGCAAGCACATCTTAAAATGGAAGGTTGGGAAAATAGATGGTGCAGAGAGGAGGAAGGAGTGAAAAAGAAGAGCTCTGAGAAAGCAAAACACAATATGATGCAATAAAAAATATTCAGGTTGTTTTTTTTTCCTTTCTTTTTTTCACACACCCAGTGTTGGTTTGAGGACACATCCCTGGACAGCTTCTATACAGTGGATTCCCCATTGCATCACTTTGGGCTAGTCAGGTAAAACAGAAGAAACACTGTGTATTTGTATGTAAGGGATTACACAACCTGTCATTATGGTGAAGTTAGTTCTCCCTCAACCCCAAAGAGTTATCAATGTTTGAACACAATTTATGTTGAAAAAGGGTTCAGTATCAATTATAAGCAATGCATTTGGCTAGTTTTCATAGAAGATGTCCCCAAATTCTTGTTAAAAACTAAGGTATTTCTCAACTAATTAAATGCATTTCAGAAAGCGTGCCAATTCTTTAATTTCTTGTGCTATTCCACATTACATATGTGGTAATTGAAGGACTTGTTTTTGACTTCTCTGTATGTGTGTATTACTTAGGTCGATGCCCAAGTAATGGGTGTGGTGTAAATTTCATGTCAATTTTCCCCTCTGTATCCCTGTTATTATGGTTAATTTGTGTCCTTTAATATGACAATGCCTTGTTGTTAGGTTCATAACAAAGCAAGTCATTTTATTTATGACATGGATGTGCTTTCAAACATTTCCAAATGTTCTCCGAGTTCACTGATGACTTTAGAGTCTTTTTCTTAGATGATCCACTGTCCTTACATGACCTTAATGAATAGTGTTGCTTATAATTTTGGCTTAAGATTTGTTTTTAATTAAACTGTGATGTTTTGAGGTTACAGTGCTCTCTCTAGATTTAAGCCTAAACTGTAATCCTAAAATGATTTATGGCTCACAACAACCCAACACTCCTGTTTTGTTGCCCCAAGACATTAGTCATTAATGCTTTTGAGCATGTATACTTGCTGACTGGCTTTTTTCTCTGGGTTGCCAATGGACACCCACGGTGTGAATTAAAAGATTTAGTGTTGTTACCAATTGATTTTCTCCTTGCACGCAGTCCCGCCTGCATGGTTTCCTGTGTGCATGGGAGTGTGTTGAGTGTGCAGCTCCACAGCAATCAAGTGTAACCCATAAACCTCTTGCTGCAAGTCAACAATGCTGACACATCGCGCAGATATTGATCACATCAAGTTTAGAACAACATGCTGTACCACAGAGACTTTGAAATGGTCTTAGACCAAATCATGATGTATTGGGGTTTAACAGCAAAGAAAAAGTGCAACCTATAGAAGAATGGATAGCAATAGCCAAAAACTGGAGAGGAGTTTGATGCAAGGGAAAAGAAAATTAAATGAATTTGTATTAATGTGCGTGTGTGTGTGTGTGTGTGTGTGTGTGTGTGTGTGCATGAAAATTTCTCTTGCGGTTAAAGCTGCATTGTTTGATTCCACTGATTCCACAGCGAGAGCCGCCAGGGACTTGTTGCCAAGGTTCAGCCAATTGAATTAGGGATTTGCAGTTCCCTCCTCTGTCCAACCCTCCTGACCATTTCCTGTTTCTCGCGATCCCCGAGGACCCTTTCTCTCCATTCAGCTGTAGACTGTAATTGTATTTAGGATGCTTGCGCAGAGCCCAGTGGAGTACATGACGAGGAGAGGGAGAGAGTCAAAGACTGATAGAAACAGAGTTGAACAGATTCCTAAACATGGCCAGGGGAATAAAAATGAAGTGAAATAATGTAGACGAGGAACATTTCTTTAGAAATAGAAGCCTGCATAAGCAAGGGAGAGGAAACTGTTTGTGGCTGTTGGGAAAGGAGACCCACAGACGTTATACCCATCCAAATGAAATACAAGGTCGTTTTCCTCATTAGATTTCCAAGCCTAGGCCAGCTGGAAACAGCTAGGTTTAAGTACTGCCCATACTGTATGGCAGGAATCTAATAGAATATAATATCCAAAGACATTACGGCAAGAAAAAATAATTTTCCTTCCTCTTCAACCAAATTTAAAAGCAGTAATATATTTGACAGTTGTCATTAAGCTAGAAATACATAATGCATAAAAGAAACGGAAGTTGCCAACCACATTCTTAGATTCACACCTCAATTATAACAGCTATCCTAAATGACAGATTTAGCCAAATTCATAAACAAACTGCTTTCTGTTCGTCTGGGAAATCATGTTTACATAATAGGTGTTAAATTCAGCTGCAAATTAATTCATCACATTAGCTTAGGTATTAGTCTAGGTTTAAATGACAATACATTTCCTGTATTAACATAACCACAGGTGTAGCACACTGGGAGCCTTGGGATTAAAAAAAGGTTTCTGTACGTTCATGTTTCGTGAAATATCACCTGCTCCAAAGACCTTTTGCTTGGGGACCCCCCGACGTTTTTTCCCCTCATAGCCTTCCATTTGTGGTTTCTGTGCATAAAGACCCAGGACACAATACTATGAAGACCTTTGCCATTACAGTGTATATAAATGGTATCTCATTGAGTGTTCTTCCTTGGTTAAATAAAGGTGAAATGAAAAACCTAAAAATAGAACTTAAATTCAGCTTGTTTGTTATTGTAGGTGCTTCTTCTATGTTGTATTAGACTGGTATGACATATGACTCAGTAGGTTATCATTATAAGACAGTCCGTCTACTTTCAAGGCTTTATAATAAAGCTTATTGTGGCTTAGATTTTGCTGAGCCATCGTGATGATCACACTTCCTAATTTCACAAATTTCTACTACATTAAATTTATATGTTATTTATAATTATTGCTCCCATTAACTTTGAACTGTCTCTCCTTTTTTTTAATGAGCAGAAGGTTTTTGTGTTTAAATGCTGATGGCACCATCTTATTCCTGGACGGTGCCATCAGCTGACAAAATGTTGCCAGTAATATTTTCCCCTCCTTTTATTTAAGACACAGCTTAAAATATATTTCTGTGTTTAATGTTCATAAAGCGATTTGTACTCTCCTTTTTATCGCCTAGATAGGAAAGTGCTTATCTGTTCTACTGTATTTTCTACACAAAGTCATTAATGACCTACTGCTGCCATTACCTTTCTGTACTCAATATTTCCTTTCCATAGAAAGTACTGCAGGGACAAAGGTTCCAAGTCAAAGTTTACTTACTATGCACACAAATGTAAATTTCAATGCAGCAGAAAGCAAATATTACCACCCAAACTCACCGAAATGTAAGAAAACATAGAACAGAAATATCAACAGAGAGGAACATAGCCTAAAATAAAAGACATGTCTCTGTGAAAACAGAAAAACCCACCACTCAGCTAATGAACACATTAAAATGGACATATTAAATGTTTATTAAATTAAAATGTAAGAAATGGACATATAACAAAAAATAACTTTGCAACTGCCTTATGACCCTGATGGTTGCTCATATTAAGACTGATTCTGCTGAAATTTCTTTGTTAAGAGGGAGTCATTGTTCCATTACTTGCTCAGGGGGAGATATTGTGGTAGTGATAATAACGTGATAAAATCAACTCCCTTCACTCGTCACAGGCCTGTACCAACTTAGGAATTGCTGCTAAGTCAAAGGATTGCAGTCAGGTGGGCTTCCTCACATAATGCTTTTTGCCCACCGATATTATAAACTGAATTTAACTCTACTGTATTATAGCTACGATTAAATGGGAAAGAATTTGAATCTGTCTAGATTTCTAAACATGTATTGAAGCTGTTTGACTTATAAAGTGTCTTGAGATTACTTTTGCTGTGAAGAAGCAGGGTGTAGACATACTGAATTAATGGATGTTATCAAGATTTACACCATATTTCACTTTGCCAAA